ACCAAACTACCCAGCTTATAGGTAAGTCTATCATGGTCAGCAACTGTACTTTTTGGGTAATTTAAAAGAAAACAGGATATCATCTAATCAAACCTTGTCTATCTTTGGAACCAAGGCAATGTCACCACACTAATGGAAGCTCCCAAAGCTTTGTTTCTCTGGATGGAGTCCCTTGGATAGCAATAATGGGCAGTAACACACCGAGCCCTTGCCCCATCTGGCTGTGATAAACACATTACAAATCTCACAGTGATGCTCTGAAGCCCGAGGCTGCTGCAAAAGAAAACCAAGGTTGACAGCACAAGTTTAAGAACCCGATATTCTATAAATGAAAAAAAGCCAGCTGCCTGTTCCTTCTCGGCAGAACACAGTAAATACATTATCTGGGCCTCCTGCCATTTCTCAAACCTGAGGCTGTCTAATGATATCTGTTTGGGCAACTTTAAACTTCATTTGTCAAAAAAAAAAAAAAAAAAAAAAAAAAAAAAAGCCTCTAATTCACTGACTTTCAAGGGTTTTGGGGGGGCCTAAAATTGTTTTTTTAAATGTTTAAATTTTGTTTAAATATATGTTTACATGGGAACATTTTAATCTTTCTAAACCACATATCTCATTGGGTTGTGCACCTGGTCAGAAGCTTCTGTCTTTGATTATCTGTAGGGCTGCTGGGCCTCCAAAGGCCTGGTTCTGTTTTTCCCCATTTCTTACCAGTGTTCCTAAGACCTATGTTCCTAAGTCCCTATGCTTCAACCCACCTCCTCTACCTTTACTGAACCTTGCCACACACACTGTATTTCGTGTTTTCGCATGCAGAGCCCTTTGAGGGAGCTCTTGCCCACCTGTCCTTCCAGCCTTGATTCAGAGATGAACTCTCCTGGGGAGACTTTCTTCCTGTGTTGAGTTAATTACTCCTTTCTTATTTCCTTAATACTTAAATCTCTCAGTAAATATCCAACATGCCACACTGTGATCAGTTACTTGTGTCTGTCTCCTCCCCAGAAAAGGAGCCCTGCAAGGGTGGAAATTACATCTCACGTATTGCTGCTATCCCAGTGCCAGTCTAGTCCTTGGTGCACACAAAATGGGCAACATTTGCTTGTTGAGTGAATGAATAAAATAAAAAGACACAGTCCCTACCCAAAGGACAAGGATTTCCAACTTAACCACCAAAAGGAAGGGGTCAGTCAGTCGTTGGAGCAAATTCTAAGGGTTTCATCTCCCCAGATTTCCTGACAACTGAACATGCCTAGAAGGTACACCTATACATCCGGGTAACAGCACCGGAACTTTGTTCATCCCATTCCAGGAGCAGCCCTTTCATTTTGAGACCCCAAAGCTCTGAAGCTCTCCTTGGTGGGTGGGCAAGCATGGGTAGATATCTGCACGCCTCTTTCTCTCTTCAGCAAGAGCTCAGAATAGCTCCATTAGTGTTCATGGAAATGCTGCACATGCATCAAGGGGAAAACAGCCACAAATAACACAGCCTGCTTCCTGAGCCTCCACAGCACATCTCTGCAATCATTCCACTTTCCAACTCTCACCACTGAAGCCTTTCATCCAGAAAGCAATTTGTTCTCAACTTACTGTTTATAAATAAGGCTTCTGACTTCCTCTCTTCCCCGCCAGAGCTTCTCTCCTCAGCCTGTTAACACTACGCCCAGTGGCTCCTCCTACCAGAACTAGTCCAGAGGCTTTCCCTGGGAGCTCGGCCCCTTTCCTTGCCTTCCTCTCCAGCCACCCTCCTGCCTGTGCCCTCCCACCCCACTCATTTCACTTATCTCCACTTCTGGATCTTTCCATACCCTGTTTTCTCAGCAGGTCTGCCCCTCAGCTACCCATTTAACAACTTCCGCCCTTTGAAATTGCACGCGAACACTGTCTCCTCCAGGAAGCATTCCCTGACCAGATAAGACATTTCTTCTGCATGCCCACAGCCAGTCATTCAACCAATAGACACCTAGTATCTAGATGGCTTCCAAAGCCTCGTGCGGTTATAGCGGGGAAGTTTTGAAGGTGGCTGGACTGTGTGTGAATGTGGACTAAGACTATGATGTTGGGATTAAGGGCATGGATAATGGGGTCTGGATGGATGTGACACCAGCCACCAGGCTTATAAAGATGGTGATAAAAAGGAAAGGCAGGCTGGCTGCTTGCTGCTGTCTACCTTCCACACCATGAACTGTTCCTCTTTTGTGATGCCCCACTGTCACGCCACCCTACCTTGAAGCCAGAGGATTTGGGCCAAAACCTCCACACCTTGTGAGCCACATAAACCTTTCCTCCTTTAGTTTGTAGGTGTCAGATACTTTGTCTCAGCAATGAGAAAAGTAACTAAGACATCTAGCTTATGCCAGGCTATTCCAGGTGCTAGAAATAGAGCAGAGAATAAAACAAAAAACAAGGTCTCTGCTTTCATGAACCTTAAATTCCTGAAGAGCAGAAAGAGACAATGAAGAAATAAATGTGTGGACTGAGGAGATAGCTCGGCAAGCATAATGTCCGCATGGCAAGTGCAAGGTCCTGAGTTGATCCTTGGTACTTCATGCCATGCCAGCCCTGGAACCGGGTGTGGTTGCACATGCCTGTAATCCTAGCACTGGGAAAGCCGAGACCAAACTGCACAGCAAGACTCTGTACCAAAGAAAAGAAAATACATACAAGTGTCAAAGAGTGATAAATACTCTGCTCTGGGGGGAAAAAAAAGGCTCAAGTATTGAAGAATATCTGGAAGGAAATGTTATTTTATTTAATCAGAGCTTGCCTGTGAATATAGCTCAGTAGCACAAGCATCTGCCTGACAAGCAGGAGGTCCTGAGTTCAATCCTAGTACCCCCTGCAAAAGAAAAGAGAAAAAAAAGAATATTTCATCAGAGCTTTCTGATAAGGAAAGGAGAGAACTGAATCAAATGGAGACAGGACCCACAGATACCTGGGGAAAACACTGCAATCAGAACAGTAAACACAAAGGCCCTGAGGTAGATGTGTGTGTGGCATGTGTGGAAAACAGCCAGGGAGTCACTGGCACCAGGGAGGGGTAACAGTATTTGGGAATGAGTCCAAAGAGGCAGCCAGGGAATAGAGACACTGGGCCTCATAGGACATGGTAGGGCTTGGGATTTGACACCAAGTCAAATGGAAGACGCTGGAAGGTTTTAAGCAGAAAAAAGAGTTTGTTTTAGAGCTTGAAAGGCTACTTTTGGCTACACTGTAGGTGACAACCTAAGGAGGAACCATGAAGGGAACAGAACCTAGACATCGCTAATTCTGCCAGTATTTACTGTTGACTTCTATGCACCATCCCTGTTGTAGGCACTCGATTCCCAGAACACCGGATCTCTTCCACTACTGAGGTTAAAATCCAGTGGGGAGACAGAATCACACGCAGAACCACAGAACATGTGCACACATCTACAGAAGCACACAGGGTTTCATGAGAGAAGAGCTAGGCAGAGTAGCATTTCAGAAAGGGCAAACAGCACAGGAGCACAATGAGTTACTTCAAGGAACCAGATGCAGTAAAGAACTCTCAGCAGCCTATGAAGAGGAGGGTAAGGGACTGAATGAAGCTGAGAACAGAGATGGCAGGGCCTGAATCACAACAGGCAGATTTTCACACCAGCAGTGAAGCACTTGTCTTCTACCTTATAGGCAGGTGATAGGGATCCATGGATTCAATGGAGGGGTGAAAAAAAATGGGGGGGGGGGTGATAGTAATTTCTAGTTTTGATGTCTCTTTGTCTGTAAAAAACAGAGGTAGATTTAAAAAGGGTGCGATTAGAGACATGGGGACCAGGTAAGAGCCAGTGGAGTCATTTGAACAAGAGAAGAGGAAGCCCTGAAGTGGCACTAGAGATGGAAAAGAGGCAGGGGTTCTAAATACATCTGAGAAGTAAAACCAGAAGGACTTGATGGGCTAAGGGAGGGAGATATGGGAACCAGAGTGACCCCACAGAGGCCCACCTGGAGTGCCAGGACTGAGACCACAAACTGAGAGAAGTCACGTCACAGTGGAGATGTCCATGGAACACCTACAGAACATCATCTGAGGTGCAGGACACTTGTGCGCTAAAGAGGTAAGCTGGAATATGATCACAGTATGTGATTCTGCTAGGAAATGTGAGAGGATGAGTCAGCTGATGGCTGTATGATCCAATAAACCTGGGTGCTGACTCTCAGGTATGTTTTCACTACTTGTGATCTTCAGGAAGTTGTTACTACATCTTTCTGAGCCTCATCTTTCTCATCTTTCATTGGATATTTTCTTTTTTGAAAAGTACTAGTATAGTGCTGGGCACATAGTAAGTGCTCAGTTATTATTCTAGCTCTAGTAGCTATGAGTGGTGAGAGACTGGACAAAACAGTTGTGCTGCCTGTGCCTTGGGTTGCCATCCAGTTACTGCTCACAGATGAGGGCAGGAAATGGCTGAATATGCAAGTAAATGTGAAACATGAAACAACAACATCTACTTGATTATAAGAGAATTTAAAAGAATATATATCTATGTCTCCATGTAAATACAGTAATACCTAGGTTCACAAATACTTGTTTGCAAATAAAAGCAGTTGGCAAAATTTTGCTTTTGTTCACAAACTCTGCTTTGGGTAACAAGCATGACCAGAACATCTTCCCCACACAAAAACAAACACAGCCACCTTCCCCCACATCATAAAACAGATTATGCTCGTAATCTGAGGCACCACTGTACACCACCTAAGGAAAGGTAGCACTTGAAAGGCTGACAGTGCTAGCCTTTTTCTTCTACCTTTGCTTTTCAACTTCTCTTCATTTAAATTATCCTTTTTGCACTGGTTCCTTCCTTTCATACTGTAATATACTCTAGTCTCCTTCAATCCAAAAACCCTTCCTTGGATCTTATAACTACCCTCAAATTTTTATCCACCATTCCTTAATTTCACCCACTATATCCACTCTCAATGTGCAACATTTACAGTGAAGAAAATGCATGTTTTACTTAAAGTACAAGTCTCAGTTTATTACTTTTTTAAAAAGCAAATATCATTTACATAATTGATCCAGCAGGCCTGCACAGAAATATCTCATTTTAAAGTATGTATGCATGAATTTTTTCCTACTGCAGTAAATTTCATTATGTATCTTTTACAGAGCCCTAAGCTGAGAGCCCACGTATTCAAATAAAGCCCGAGGTGTGGGAGGCTTCAGGCCAGTTCCTCATTAGAAGCCTCAGCATGGGGGCTCCAGAGACAGGCGCACAAGGTCTTCCAGGGAGAGCTGAAACGTTCAGATAAGTGAGCTCTGGAAAGCGGGGCTGGACGGCTGGCTCTGGCAGGCTCACCCCTGGGGTAGAGCAAAGAGAACAGACAGGGAGTTCTGAGAGGCTCCAGAGCTGTCTAAACTCAGGGGGATGGAACCAAGGGAGCAGCAGCAGTAATTGAGTTTCAGTTACCTGCAGGGTGGCGAAATAAAGTGGTAACTTCATCTGCCTGACAGGGGGGAGGTTTAGAGGTGTCCTTGGCATACGCACAGTGAAATCTGTCACCCTTTCACTGTGCTGGGCGATGGCACCCGTCCGGCGCTTCCCAGGGACAGCCAATGTGCGTCCTGTGGGGCAGCGCCAGCGCGCCGCAGCTAATGAAGCTCGCTCCTGCAGGCTTGTCTCCCAGGCTCCCTGGATCCCGCCTGCAGGAATGACACTATGGGAAAAGCTAGCAAGCTGCATCCACCATCACCCAGACTCAAAGGAGCCTTTGAATGCAGAGAGGGGCCCGTTTTCTTCTCTGCCCAGCCCAGGGTTGGAACTGTCCTCAGGTCACTTTTTGTGGGTCTGCACAAACGCGCCAACCGGCAGTGAGCCATTCTTCACCTGATCCCGGATTTCAGCTCGGTGCTTTAATGTGAAGACCAGAGCTCTCACGGTCCGCCGGTATGGCCCATTAATGAGGCGGGAACAGAGATGAAATGTTTCCCGCTCAATATTTTCAACCAGTAGGTGATCCATCTAAAAAACAGCAAAATTATCAAATTAGGGCCTTGCATTGCATAAGGATTAAAAGCAAGAGAGGCTGGAGCTCTGCTCCAAGGCCTCCATTAATCAACTGAAATTCAAGGACATCTACTTCCTGTCACAAGAGAAACAGGAAGAGCAAATTAATTCCACCCTGGCAATTAAGGAACAAGGCCATGTGCTTTGTGACAGGGACCTCATTCACAACCCCTGCCGGGTGGTAATATTTGCCATTATAACAGGAAACTGGCCTGAACTAAGCAATGGGTACTGGGCCCTGTGCTTTACCAGTCAGGAAACAAAGTCCAAGGATACTAAATCAGTATAACAGATCATATTTCTTTTTGTTTTTAAAGTGCCTTTAACCCCTTATAAGATTTTAGAAATACTGAGTCTGAATCCTAGTCTGTATATAAGACAGTTTATAAATCATTATTTGCATTTAATGCTTATAAGGCTTATTATCACATTTTATAGATAAGGAAACAGGTTCAAAAGTATAAGGTCAAGCTCTTGATTCCAGAATTCACACCTCTTCCCTCTCAACACACTAACAGCCCCCTCAACATTCTGAGAGCCTGGCTGGGTCTGGTGAGATTCCTACAGATTCAGACCAGGGGAACAGCCTAAGGGATGGGAACTGTGATGATTCTAGGGTGGTCCAACTCACATTCAAGCCATCCTGAGGTCACAGACCCAGGACAGGTCAGGGACCCCCAGGCCTACCTACCACCGTCCAGCCCTAACCACGGCCCTGCCTAATCATCCTCAAGCTGCTTTCACACTCCTCTAGCCTCTGCATGGCAGATGTTCCCATAGCACTGCACACTTTGTCCTAGGAAACACTCCTGCATTTGGTGAAGTTCAGCACATACATATGTGTGTATGTGTGCAGGCACATGTGCGTGCGCATGTACACACACACACACACACACACACACACACACACACACCTTGGCACAAAGACTTATAAGCTTTTCAAACTTCCACAATGTCCTAAGCTTCCTTGGCCATTATCACATGTCATAATGATCTATATTTAGGTTTGTCTCACCTTATACTAAAGCCTTTGAAAACAAAACCAAATTTCCCCCTCTGTTCTTCATTCCATCGCCACCTGCTGAGCAGTCATTACTGAGGGCCAGGCTCTGTGCTGGACCTGAGATGGGAGTGGTGACCAGGGTAGGTGCAACTTTCGAGCCTGAGAATACTGTTGCATGGGTACTAAGTGTGCAGGAAGGAGAGGAATGGGCACCAGGGCAGCCCCAAGGGCAGCATGGGATTCGGCAGAACATGACATTCCTCATAAAACCTGGAGAAGTAGCAGAATCTGGTCGACTGAAATGGTTGTTTGCTTTGTGATAAATTCACTGAGCTAGACACATACTATTCTGCACATACCCTATGCTTCCATGTAAAATGCAAAGGTCAAAACTAGAAATGAAAAAGGTTACCTGACATTTGAAAACATGTCCTGAATACAACAGACAGATACAAAGAAGGGGCATAGGGGGTGGGGGAGCACTTTAAAGATACAAGGACAAGCAGGAAGCAGAATAGAACAGAGAGACAGAGAAAGAATATGAATATACAAGGATGATAAAAATATACAGTGAATATTACATTAAAAAATATACATGGCCACTAGTCCTGATCAGAACACTCTCTCCAGCTTTGAAACTGCTTATCAACCCATTGTTCTTACCACCCTCTGAAGCAGTTCAGAAAGTCCTCATCATGAGTGTCCTGAGGTACGACGAAAACTACTCTGAGTGTTGCTGCAGAGTGGCATCCAATGCAAAGGCAAGCTCTGACATAAGACACCATGCTGTGTCCTCATCCACCTTACTTACTGGACCTGGCAGCATAAGACTTCTAGGTCTTCCCCAAAGTCAAAATGACCATGACAGGTAAATGTTTTTAAGCCATTCAGGACATGGAGGCAGCCACAATAGCTGTTAAAGATAACTAAAGACACTCACAGCTACACACACAAAAGAGAGCTTTCAGAACTGTTTTCACAAAGTGGCAAGAATGATGGGGTGGGCCAGGGAGATAGCTAGGTGGCATAACCGCCTGCCTGGCAAGTGCAAGGTCCCAAGTTCAGTTCCCAGTACCAAAAAAAAAAAAAAAAAAAAAAGATGTAGTAAATTTGAAGTATGTGTGTGGGTATTTCAAAGGCAATCACTGGCAATGTGTCTTTAAGCAATACTTTTAACATGTTGAATATTTACCATATATTTCAATCACACTGAATATCACATACATCTGCCTATGCCTAGCAGTCAAAAGATATTTCTGGAAGTTCAGAATGGCTGGCTGATCACTTTCTAGGCCTGTGTAGAAGGAAGTGGGCCAGGCGCCACAGCTTTCTAGAACCCAGATTCCTAGAATTTCCAAGACTTCCTTGAGCAGACACTGAACTAGCAGCAGGTCTGAGGCAGCCTGGTACGAGACAACTTCTGAAGGCTAGAGAAGTGGCTGGCCAACTGGCCACCCCATTTTTCCCCACAATACTTGTCAGAGAGGTTCCTCAGCCCAGTATGAGGCTGGTTACCATTTCAAGATTTATTTACAGTAACAGGCAAGAAAATGTCTTTTTTTTTTTTTTTTTTTTTTTTTAATAAAGGGAGTGCTATTAGAGGGTATATGTATATTTATAAAACTATAGCCATTCTATTAATTTTAGTATTAAAAAAATAGGGTTCACACAATTGGATAGCCATACATCTCCATTCAGCAAAGAGAGTTGCTATGCCCAGTCTGGCCAGATTTGCAAGACAGCACATGAAGACCTGACTCCCATCCAGGAACTCAAAGCCTTGAAAGGAGATGGTGTCTACACATACAACTAGGGGCAAGGGAACAGGGCTACCCCTCTCTGTGACAGAAGTAGGAAGCATCTAGCAATTCTCACACATGCCTCTTTTTTTTTTTTTCCAGAAGCGGGGATTGAACTCAGGTCCTTGCGCTTGCCAGGGAAGCACTTATTCCACTAAGCCATCTCCCCAGCCCTATTTTTGTTTTTGAACAACATCTTGTTATGTAGTTCCGGCTGGACTTAACTCACTATGGAGTTCAGGTTGACCTCAAACTTGCAGTGATTCTCCTGCCTCAACTTCCTGAGTGTTGGCATTACAGACATTGGCTACCTCCCTCAACCTGCATGCCTTCTTACTAAATGAAGACCAATCAGAATGAAAAAATGAAGATAAATATCAGTGACATTAACATATGAATCATAAAGGAAAATGATTCATTATGCACAGTCATGTCTGACAAGCTTACAGCACAAAGTGAGGAATACCTCACTTGTAACCTAAACCTGCCCAGTTGATAAATCCTTTCCAAAAGGTCCTATCTTGGTGCTTTAGGCAAAGTAGGACTTACACCTTGAGAAAAAGATTTTGCTAAAGATACATCTGTATGAATGCTAATGGGAAGAGGAACACTGTAAGACATCTAGGGGCTCTGAGGCCAGATCCTTTCTTTTTATTGCTCATGATCTGCCTGGCCTCTTTCTCACATGTTTTTGCTCCTCCCCGAGCCTACCAACCCTAACTGCCTGACTCTCCTGGTCTATACATCTCTCTACAGGCTAGTTTTACTTTCTCCTAATTCCTCCAACAGGGCTTGTGTTTCAAACAATCACACAGTTGCTTTCTCGGGATTTCCTAGTCCTCGTCTCTCACAGACAGAGGATCTGAATTGCATTCTATATCCATTCGTTGCTGGGCACAACTGTGTATGACTTGGTTGTCCAATCCTGGATGGACTGGCTGTAGCTGGGGAAGATACAAAACAACCACGCAGGGCTCTCCTTCACCAAGGAATAGATGTGGTGGGAAACAGTACAATAATCAATCAGTGCTGTCAGCCACATCTGTCAAGTTCTTTAAATGCAAAGGAACATGTTTGCCTTACTGAAGAACTTCCCACGTTGTACTTTATCTACTTGTCATAGGCTTCCTCAGAAGACAGTGAGGCTATGAGGGCTTTACATCCTATATCCATTTCTTTCTTTCTTTCTTTCTTTCTTTTCTTTTTCTTTTTTTGGCAGAACCAGGGATTGAACTCAGGATCCTGTGCTTGCCAGGGAAGCGCTTATTCCACTGAGCCATCTCCCCGGCCCCCTATATCCATTTCTAAATTCCTTTCCCTGGCCTATGTGCTAGTACACAGGAATGCTCAATAAACACCTGTGAAATGAATACCCTTTCTCCCCATATGCACCTACCTCCCTTCTTTCCTGTTGATGGCACACACAGCAGATAGCAATACTGAGTCTTGTGTACTATGTACACTAGGATACATTCTATCACTGAGCTATATCTGCAACCCTTTTAAAATTTTATTCTGAAACAGGTTCTCACTAAATTGCTCAGGTTGGGTTTTAGCTTGTAATCTGCTTATTCAGTCATCCACCTAGCTGGGTTTAGGGAGGCACATGCCACCATACCCCCCCCCTTTTTTTTTTTTTGTCTTCTGGCACAGGGTCCACAGGGTCTCACTACACAGATTAGTCTCATAACAATTCTCCTGTTTTCAGCCTCCCACATGCTGGGATTACAGGCACGTGACACCACGCCCAGTCTCAATTGCCATCTCAGCGTACTTTCTAGTTAGCAAAATCCTATCCCTCTTTTAAAGGTCAGCTCCCTGTCATCTCATCCACAACACCTTCCCACCTGCCCACAGCAGATTTAACAGCTCCAAACTGTGTGTTTATACCACTAGCTAGTGCTGCTATTTCAGACTGCCTCACATTTTTGTTAGTCATTTAAGTCTCAGCCAGCTTTCTTAGGGTAGGCAATGCAATTCATTCATGTCTGTATTCTCCCCGGACACCTAGTGGATCTCAATAAACACATGTTGAGTTGAAAATCCCCTTGAAGCAAACTTCGCATGGGTTTTTCCATACCATGATTGAATTTGTACTTATCTAACCATTCTTTTTGACCACTTGAATACATTTATGAGAGAGTTGGTCAAAGCCAGGGGTACAGTCTGAGGCCATTAAACAAAGAAAAAACTAACAGTCCCATATGAGAATGTACCCCTGACCTGGATCTCATTAGCACTATCTGACAACCAACTGAGCCAACTAACCAGTGTTTCATAACTCTTAATGATGCAGGCTCACTTTGAGAATCAGGTTCATTTTTTTAATGACATAATAGGAAAATGATCACAGGCCGTGAGGTAGGAAGGAGAGTGGATAATGAGGAAGAGGAAGTAAGAGAATGACACCACAGGGGACATTCATGTGAGGAAAGATCTAAAAGATAGGAAAGAACAAAGAAGATCCGGAAGGGAGAGAGTAAAGGGGAATGAAGCCTGGCTTTCAGTACTGGAGTTTTTATTCATCTATTCCATTATTCCAAGAACAAGAAAATAATCCATGAATCTAGAAAGCAAGATCTGTAGGGTAATAAAGAGGTGAATCTTTTGACTATGTATGTATTCTTCATCTGTAGCTTTCACTATTAAAGGAAATAACTGAAACACATAACAGAAAAATCTTTTCCTACAAAAAATGTAACGAGTAGATTTGGTATTTGCAGAAACACATGCTAGGATCAAACAGTAAAGGCTTTTCGGTCATTGGGCCAAGAGCTTACCCAATGGTTCACTACTGCTTGATAGAGTACATCTATGGAATCTGATGTCTGATTTGAATGCACTTGATATTGCTTACCATCAAAGGCTGGCTATGGGGTTAGATGGCTCACTGACGCACCCTAATATGGAAATGCCTCATGATGATAGGTGGTAGGCTAACCTCATATAATATATTTGTACTTGTATTCTGTTACATACCAAACTAACAAAAATACCATCAAATGTTGTTTATGCAAGAAAGAAAGAATTTTTTTTTTTTTTTTTTTTTTTTTTTGCTGGCCAAGGAAGACAGTTAAAGATTCATACTTTTAATTTTTTAAATTTACTCTTTGGGAACAAAACCACTCAGCTATGCTTAATCTGATACTTTTTCCAATTATGCTGGAAAGCACTAACGAATGTATCACTTTTTTAACTTTGCTTTGTAACACTTGAGTGCTTACCACTTGATGTGCCATTTTAAAGATAATTAATGGATAAACTAAAAGGATAATTATTATGGAGTTTAATATAGCAGGCAAACTGCTCATTAATCCTTACAAGCATAGCTTCATTTTTATCATTTACTTAAAAAGATACCACAGGGAACTGGTATTTACCACCACATTAACTACATATTACATATCCACACTGTACATTTCTGCAATAATTTTGGGCTATTTCAAAAATAAACTTTATTTAAAGTAGCAAGTCTATTGACCAATCAATACTCTTAAAATTACTTATGTCCTTCACAGGTTTTCCTCTCTTCCATTATTCATATCAAAGCTTCCTTTAGGGAAAGTTAAGTAAACATATATCACAGCAATTCATTGCTTTATCAAATAGACATTACAAATTATAAACACTGAAACATAAAAATATATGGAAAACAATATACAGAATATTCCTTTAACCAAGATTCAAGGAACAACACAAATAAAATTATGTCAGTTTTCTGCAATGTTATTTGCAGGATAATCAATAAAAATATCTTATGGGACATTTGGCATATAATTTGCTATAAATATCAGATAATCATAATTTGCCCTGTATTCATTTAAAAAGCTATAATAATTTACCCCTAACAGGTATACACCAATTTATTAACAAGATTGTGTCTGGATGGTAAGCTCAGTGTTGATTTTTTTGTCTTTTTTTAAAAAATTCTATTAATAAGTTTTTATTTTTAGAAACCTAAAGCTAAATCTTGTTTTTTTTGAAAAAGTAAATAATAAAGCCAGGCATCATGGTGATGCAAGTCCCAGCACTTAGGAGGCTGAAGCAGGAGGATTGCTGCAAGTTTGAGGCCAGCCTAAAATATACAGCAAAATCCTGTCTCAAAACACCAAACAAACAAACAAACCTCCATAATATAGTACAAGTTTACTTTTCCACCTTTTTTTGAATAAATAATTGGTAGAAAGGTTAAAAATGTTTTGTAGAATGTAGTAACTGATTTAATACTTAATAGATTTTTTTTTTTTTTTAATGTTCTGAGATGGTTGTCTCATTATGTAATTCAGGGTGGCCTTAACTTGTGGCAATCTTCCCTCATCAGCCTACTGAGTGCCGGGATTACAGCATGTGCCACCACACATGCTTAAACCAGCTTTCTGAACTCTATCTTTTATTAAAATTAGTGCTGCTGGGTGTGGTGATGTATACCTGTAATCTCAGCATTCTGGAGGCTGAAGCAAGAGGACTGCTTTGAGTTCCAGGCCAGACTGGGCTACATAGTGAAACCCTGTCTCAAACAAACAAACAAACAAACAAACAAACCAAACAACCTAAAACGTAGCTTTCTTTTTGAAAATGAATATTTAAATAAGGATACCTTCAAACATTGTGGGGAGAGAAAAAAAATATGGATTTTATATGCCTGATTTTCCAATAAGCCCGTAAAATCTGTTGGTTGATGGTGATTAAGGTTATCATTAATGAACAAAAACGCTTCTTCAGCATGTACACTTCAAACAACTAGTATCATCCAAATTGTGAAGATGACAGGGAACATCTATCCAACTGATTTTATGTTTTAGAACTGAAAGTATGAATGTTGACAAAGAAGGGGAAGTCAAGTCTTTTTTTTTTTTTTTTTTTTTTTTTTTTTGCGCGGAACCGGGGATTGAACTCAGATCCTTGCGTTTGCCAGTCAAGCGCTTATCCTTCTGAGTCATCTCCCCGGCCCCTAAAGTCTTTTCAACAGACAGTTCTTTATCACTTTATCACATCATAGCTTGGTCAATAATATTTATTTCAGTGGGAATGGAAAGACTTTCAAATGTAAAATAACTAACATTCAATAAATGACTTCTAATCAGTGGATACTAGATACTATTCTTTGGTATAAATGGTTTGCTCAGCTTTCCCAATAACCTTAGAAGATAAGAATTAAAAATTCTCTCTCTCTCTTTTTTTTTTTCAGAACCAGGAATTGAACTCAGGCCCTTGCTTATTCTACTGAGTTATCTCCCCAGCCCCTAAAATTCTCTTTTTACAGATACAGTAAATCTCAGAAATGTTAAGGAATTTGCCTATGGAGTCACAGGGTTTCAGCCTAGGTCTCACTGTTACAAAGCTTGTAATACTCCAACACCATCTCCCAACAAGTTCATAAATCTAGAATCTTTAAAAAATAACCTATTAGAATAAGGTTACAACATTCAGTCTATAAAGAATCATTATGCAAACATGAGGCTCATTCAAGGTACAGTGGCAGGAGATACATCACAAATTTCAGGTCAGCCTGGACTATATAGTGAGTTCAAGACTACACAGTGAGACCCTGTCTCCAAAACACTAAAACAAAAAACAAACCAAAAAAATCCAAACCATGAGGCTCATTTAACCAAGAGCCCTTAGGAATCACATTCCATCCAGGACAGTACCTTTAATTCCAAGGCTTCTGAGAGTAGTTTCCGGGCATTTTTCCTAAATGATTCTGTTTTGGGATCACTTTGGACTTCTATAGATGGTCTATCCAAGTGTTTTTCAATGGAAGTTTTCCACTCAGTGTAAACTTCTTTGGCAAGACAAGCCACCTCTGAATCTGAGTGCTTACACATCTTGTTCACCGTGTGACCTAGAACAGGGGGGAAATCAAAGGAAAGATCGTTCTGTCTTCTGAAAGCAAAGACTAAATGGGCTGATGTGTGGGACTGACACCCATTCATATAACCCAGGATGCAAAGCTTTTGTGCAAATGAAGTATGCTTCACAGAGGCTAACCTATGATGGTCACTAGGAGAGAAACAGCCTTGCCAATACAGTAATAAAAAACTAAAGGCATTCAGTAGAATCTGAAAAAGAAGAACAATCAAAACAAAACAGAACCTAAGATTGCAGGTTCTTATAAAAATTGAAATAAAGTGAAGGAAGCATTTATACTAATTTTTGGTACATATTACATTTCAAGACAATAGAATAGCTAGTTATTAAAGGAACATTCTTTATTTTTTAAAATGTATTTAGTACAGGGTCTATAGGGTCTTGCTACACAGATCGGACTTGTAGTGATCCTCCTGTTTTCAGCCTCCCAAGTGCTGGGATTATAAGAGTGTGCCACCACACCCAGTCTCTATTGTCACCATCTCAGCACACCCTGGGGGTGGGTCAGCACAGCTCGCCGGGGATCAAACCCTGGTGATATGCTTGCCTAAATAGGCGCTTTAGTCCACCGAGCTATCTGGCCAGCCCTGGAACATTTTTTATTTAACAATAATGTAAAAACATGAATAGAATTAGAAAAATTCTAATTTTATAGCCCCTGATGAACTAATTCATTCAGAAGACAATCATGAAACAAAATGGAAAGGAGAAAAAAAGAATAAGACAGTCATGAGGGGATGAACTCATAGGCTGGTAAGTTTATAATGGAGGTTGAATTGTCATCACCTGTTACCCACTGATCAATGTTGGCATCCTCACGGGGGACTGTGAGGCAGAAGAACTTGACAGCCTTGCCTAGGAAGTAGTCCCACACCTAACCTTGAAAGACCAAACGAATCACAATTCAACTAGCCACTCGAAGCTAACCTCCAGTTTATAAGAAATAGGAGAGTGAAATTATAGTATGAAGAAACAACATACAGGGTTTAACATTCACGGGTATTATTTAAAAACAGGGTCAGAGTCAGAAGTTGCTATAGATTAAAAAAAGTATTCCGAGTCCAGATTACCAAATGTGATGTGTGATTCAAATTCCAACTGGAATAAACCAACTGATATCTTTACATAAACAAGAAATATAGGGGCTGGTGAGATGGCTCAGCGGTCTAAAGCACCTACTTAGAACAAGCTTAGCAAAGCACACGGACCGCGGTTCAATCCCCCAGCACCACATGCCAGCCAGCCCCGCACCCTGGTGGGCTGAGCTGAACACACACACACACACACATACATAAATAAAATTAAAAAAAAGAAATATATACTAGAAATTAAATATATACTAGAAATTAAGTTATGTCAAAGAATTATTGTTAATTAAGCACAAAAGTGGCATAGCAGTTACCTAAGAAAATATCTATAGTTTTTAGAAATGCATTCATAGGAATGTAGAGCAGAGATGATGTGGGGCCAGGGAGGGAGATGGCTCAGTGGAATAAGCACTTCCCTGGCAAGTGCAAGGGCCTGAGTTCAATCCTCGGTTCCACCAAAAAAGAAAAAAAAAAGAATCCATTAACGGGCTGGGGAGATGGCTCAGTAGAATAAGCACTTCCCTGGCAAGAGTAAGGGTCTGAGTTCAATCCCCGGTTCCACCAAAAAAAAAAAAAGCGGAGATGATAAAAGGTTTGAGATTTAGCTTTAAGATAATCCAATATACATAATAAAAGCAAAAAAGAGAAAGATGAAGTGGGGAAAAAGGGCATACTGGAGGAATATTAAAGTATTCACCTTGGGGCTGGTGAGATGGCTTAGTGGTCTAAAGCACCTACTTGGAACAAGCTTGGCAAAGCACAGGGACTGCGGTTC